CCATATTAGGATAGCTAGGAAAAAGGTAAAATGTGTATTGTTGCTTTTTTGTTTTAAAATTGCAGATAAGTATCAGTTATACTTTCAAACAACTTTTTAAAAGGAATCATAGAACTGGAGGACTGGAAGGGACCTTGAAAGGTCATCTAGTCCAGTCCCCTGCACTCAAGGCAGGACTAAGTATTATCTTAACCATCCCCTGACAGATGTTTGTCTAACTTGCTTTTAAAAATCTCCAATGATGGAGATTCCACAACCTCCCTAGGCAATTTGTTCCAGTGCTTAACAACCCTGACAGTTGGAAGTTTTTCCTAACGTCCAACCTAAACTGCCCTTTTAACCCCAAAATCTAGCCCTATAGACAGTGCTAAAGTTTCTTGAGGATTCTGTCACCAGAAAGGTGTATACACTGACAGAGAATAAATGAGTCACCAAGAATACACTGTCGTCCTACTCCCTATTACAAAAAAGGCTACTATAACAGCAGTAGTTTAGTTGCTTGTCTAATGGCTGCAGTTATTGCTTCACACTAGAGGGCTTTATCTGGTGACTCAAGCCACTTCAGTACTTTACAAAAGTATACAAGAAGTACACAAAAGTAGCACAAGGCATCCAGAATAAGGGACATGTACATTTTTTCACTTCCTGACCTGCTGAAACTCAGGTAATGTACCTGGGCACTAGGAAAGAGAGAGGAAGGAGAAGAAATCATCATTAGGAGCTTCATGAACAACTTATTCTGGATTTTAAACAGAATAGCACTGACTTCTAGCCTAAAAATATATACGTACATGTATTGTACATATACACACACAGTCCAGTGAATATTCCTTGAAAGAGAGCAGAAGGACAGATATGAACTGAGCATGCATAAGAGCAAACCCTGAAGATAAGCGAATACCACAAGACAGAGTGAGTACAAAGCATTTCACTGAGGTCTCTGAACAAGAAATAAATTGTCTTTCATCCTAAGACACTGCTTTTAACTTGTTACTATTTCAAATTTACAGAAACAAGTTTCCTTTTACAGAAAGTTTTTTTTAAATAATTTTTTACTGTTCAGGGCTAGGTCCAAAATTCATCATAATCATCTTAATGTTGCCTTTGGCAGCTGTTGCAAAACACCTACAGAACCATATAGTGTATTTTTTATTATTATTGTTTCAGAGGCCTATTTCAATATTTAATATTGGAGAACACTGTGGATGAAACACACCATAAAAAATAAGCCTTGGTTCTAAAATGATTTGGATGAAAACAGATCTGATATGCTGAAGACTGTTTAAATCTATATAATTATCTCCTAGTGATAATACACAGCATATACTGAGAATATAAATTCTCTTCAAAAACAGAGCAACACCCCACAAAATTTGTAATTATTTAAAATGAGCTTTTTAAAAATTAAGATTAGCTGCTTGTTTTCCAAGGTACTGGAACTGCTGCCACTTGATTATGATGTGACTGAGGATAAAAGATTGGTGTGTGCAAAAGAGGTGTTTTCTAGAGCCTGTTAAACTCTTACTCCAGATCTCTTCTGTTTCTTTCTGTATCTATACTTTTGGTTAAGCAGCCCAATTCCAAAAGCATTTCCAAGCCCCAGTTTAAAATTCCAGCATCACTGTATCTCTGCTGTGCCACCATTACTAGATCATGATTTTTGATACAGAGGTGTCTCCATGGAAGAAACAATGAAAATAAAACTCCATTTGATCATTTTTAAACAGCCTGTTAATCAATTTAGAGCAGAGCAGTACCATTCTAATAGCTAAGAAAATTATGTCTAAAAACAAAGTGCTTTATCTTTATTGTTGCTATATTGAGGCCCTAATCAGAAATGGTGGCAACAAAGTAGCCTAGTATAGAGACTAAGGCTGGAACACAGTGAGCACTTTCAGAATGGACTGGCTCACTTTAGGACACTGGGAAAGTAATTTAGGCCCAAATTATTTCAACTGTCCATTAATTTTGTGTGTGTGTCCATCTGAACATGGGTTCAGACTTTCAAACGTGCTGAGAACTAGCGACCCTTAAAGACAGGCACTGGGTGTCTCAAAACATACACCTGAAAAATGACACACCAAGTTAGCGGATACTTTTGACAATTTTTGCCTTACTCTATGTGCCTTATTATCTGTCCTGTTCTTTTAAAAGGCGTTAATATTTATCTACCTTTGTAAGTGTTTTCAGATCACTGGAAAAATGATGCCATGTAAGTGGAAAATAAATCAGAACTGGAAAAGCACAGACAATTTCAACACCAGCTTCCCACACTGCCCTACCACTGAAACTTGACCTGGATCTGGTAGGGACTCCACAAGTGAAAGAGCTGTTCAGTCCCCAAGTCCATGCAGTTCTTGGTCTCTCTGTTTAAACAGCCAACAAGGGTGCTAAATATTATAGCTTAATACCATTCACTAGGAAATTGAGTCCAACTCAGTGCACAGAAGTTACTGTACAGACATCATCTTTAGATCACTACTAACCCACGGTAAATTGGAACTGGTAACCTAGAGATGAAAGGTTGTATATCATTGCTATTTCCCTCAGCTACAAAGTTCCCCTATGTTTAAATGTAAACTCATTCCTTTATTAGAAATCTATACTTCACAACGTATGCGACTTTGGTCAATTTTACCTCTGGTTTGCAAACTGACAAATGCATACCCTGCCAGTTATATATTATAGTTTACTTGCAAAAGTGGCCTTAGAAGGTAAGAGGCAGAAGGGTCAAGTTTTCCAACTTAGATTCTTCTGGGGCAAAGATGAAACAAATAGTTACAACCCAAAATGCAGTTTTTATTAAAAAATCAATCTGAAAATAAGAGTTTAGAAAAGAAATATCAACTTAGTACGTGTAACACTTTTAGTGCAACGGAGTATTTCCTTCTTCCTTCAATATTGGAAAGAAAATCTCTAAGCCAACAAAAATCCAAGTTAAAGTCAATAGTGTCCTTTGCCTGCTATGTTGCATCAGAGTATTGAACTAAACTGATGAGTACTCCTCCAATTCCCACAACCAAACGCCTAAATTATCACTCCTTCCCCCACAACACACACACACACACCTGGAATTATACCAGTTTATACTACATTCCTGAAGCAGAAAATAAATAGCAGTGTAGATGGTCAACTTAAAACTAGCTAACTGGCTCAGATCCATAGGCTCACAATTATATTACCATAAAGTACTAAATCATGAACATCTAAAGCCCTATCCCGCTCCCACTAAAGTCAACATGAAAACTCCTGTATATTTCAATGAAAACCAAATCGGGCTGCTAAACCACTGCTTCTTCGTCTCCAAAGAAAACGAGTACATTAATAATTAAGATAATAGACACCTGAATGCTAGTCTGTAGAACTCTACTTTAAAATTCTTCAGTATTCTCTTAAAAGCATTTCAATAATTTCAAAAGGTACCAGACAAGGAAATGGGACCAGTGAATTTAAACATTCAAAAATTAATTTCTAAAGCAACGCATAGGAGAAACATGTATAATTTCCATTAAGTAAAGAGGTGCACCCACCCACACAACTCTGGAAATACAACCCTCGCTATCCCCAGTTTTTCTGCGGGAGGGAGGAACACGATAAGGGCTGGTATTTGCAAGGGTGTCTGATTTGAGTGAATATTATATTATTTGATTGGCATCTCTAGTTAGTTATTTTCTGATTTCAGAGAAGCTGATAGTTTTTTATGTCATACTTTTAATGCTGTGTCAGACACCTAGACACCAGACTATGCATTTTTATTAATAATCCAAAATAAATAAAGTTATCTCTACAATGAACCTACTTATGGCTTGACGTCAAGTTTCATTGAATTTTCATTGTATGTGACTAGTCATGATTTTACGGGACTTATTTCCAAGGGCCATCTCAGTTATCTGTCCCTAAAATGAAAGCAAAACCTTCTTCTACTTGTTCTTTTAAGATTTAGTTCCTTTAAAGGAAACACTATCTAAATGAAATCTAATCATTTCAAACAAAGGAGTATAATTATGGTTTCAAGGTACTACACTCTTCTCTAGTCTCTTAAAAATGTTTTCTTCTCTGTGTAAAACAGTGTGTAAAACACCCACGACCCACCACATAAACAGAGGGAAATGACTGAGTATGCAGGGGAACAACTGAAATTCTCTCTATAGAAAGTCTTAAAATCACATGTAAACAAACCAGAAATATACAAAAACAATGAGGAGTCCTTGTGGCACCTTAGAGACTAACAAATTTATTTGGGCATAAGCTTTTGTGGGCTAAAACCCTATTTGGGCATAAGATTTTGTGGCCTAAAACCTACTTCATCTAATGAAGTGGGTTTTAGCCCACGAAAGCTTATGCCCGAATAAATCTGTTAGTCTCTAAGGTGCCATAAGGACTTCTCGTTGTTTTTGCTGATACAGACTAACACGGCTACCACTCTGAAACCCGTCATCACGCAAGGCACTAGAAATATACAGAATGTTTTTTCCACTAATCTTCATAGTAATTTATAACAGTAGGTAACAAAATTTTCAGACAGAAGTGGGATTTAAGTATGTCTTTTCAAAATAGCAATTAAGCAATACGAACTTCCAAGAAGTGAAATTGAATCAATATGCATCTATTTGACCAACTGAAACTTGATCATACAAGTAAGGTATCAAAATCCATAGGCTTTTCTATGGTGCTCATAACTATACTATTTGAGCACTATTTGAGTTTATCCTTACAACACCTGTGAAGAGCTCTGTGTAAGTCTGAAAACTTCTCTCACCAACAGAAGTAGGTCCCATAAAAGATATTCTCTCACCCACTGTGTCTCTCAAACACCTCTATAAAGCATGCAGTGATTATTTTCTTAGTTGTAAAATGGAGATGAAACAGAGGCCACACCAAAAGTATAACAGAGCCAGATCTTAAGTCCTGTCCAGTGCCTTGAATACAAAACCAGTTTAAACGAATGGAAAAAATATATAGTACCAACATTAAAAACCATAAGTTACATAGTTACTCACCTACAGTATACCAGCTGGCATCTGTCAATTTGTTGATAACAGCTTCTTGAAAGGATCCATCAGGCATCTTGGTTTCAACCATTGCACCAACCTGTGAGATAAAATACTTAAAAATTATTATATTATATACACTTATAGTCCCAGATTCATACAGTGGAGGTAAAACATACCAATTCTTTCAGAAAGATTTGGGGGTGGGGGTTTGGCAGGAAAGAGACTCATTTAAGTTTCACTATCCTTGTGAAATGCATGCATTGGTTACATAGCCTCCAAAGTGAAAAATCATTAACCAAATCACATTTTAATCTGACTTGGTTTTCGTTAGCAGTGGGCAGTGAAATAAGCATACTAGGATCCCTACTGTGACCTTTGTATTATAACAACAAGAGGTAAGGTTATAAGTTTTTTTTATTTTAAATGTTAATAAATATCATGGCAGAGGTGCAGGAAAACAAGGATACTTCATGGAAGTTGCGGGGGGAGAATGGGGGCCTTGGACAGTGAGCCGAGCCCACCCCACACTCACTCCGCAGCAATGGGTCCTATCCAATGGGGCTGGGCTCAGCTCCCCACATTGAGTGTTACAAGCTGACCCATATGGTCACAGTATTAATCAAATGTGGCCCTCTGTCTCTACAGAGGGGTGGACACACTAAACCTGAGTGGTGCTGTGACCACCTGGGCCAACTTGCAACATTCAAAGGGGAAAGGTGCAGCTTCTGCAGTTGTCATAGATTTTATTCAAATTTAAGATCTAAGCCACTAATCCAACACTTTAACAGTATAAGTAGTGGTATATGTGTCTATAGCATAAGAATATAAAGCCTTTGTTATTACATACATTTACTCTTTGAACTCAAACATCAAGTAGATATGCTTCACTGTCAACTGGACAATACACCAGGGTTTCTAAACTTGGTCTAGATTTTGACAACAGCATTTGCCAGTGCATTTGAGGAAGCAGAAGAGGCGGTAAGGACAAGGGAAAGGCAAAAACCCCAAGGAAATAAATAAATATTAGTCACCTGTTCTAACAGTTCCTGAGCTAACCTGAATATATATCTTGTTTACGCCTGTCTAATGTCTGTAGTTTGCTTGACATAGTTGACCTTCCCCAATTTATGTGCAACATATTTACAAAAATAGTCTTGCCTACAATAACATTTCCATACAAAACTAACTATGTCAAAGGCATAGGGATAAACATCTTTTAAAAACTAAAATATTAGCTAATAAGGATAATTACTCATTGAGGGCCTGATCCAAAGCCCGTGGAGGTTTTTCCATTGAATTCAACCGACTATGGATTAGATGGTCAATGTCTAAACTGTCTAAATGTAAAATAATTATAATTTAACTGTACATTTGAAAAACATGCTGCATACATACTCTTAAAGGTCCTTTTACTTGGTCGTCTTGCACTAACTGAGCTGAGTTATCCTGTTTCAGGATCACCTGAAAAATATTTTATAAACAGATATATACGTTTCACTTTCATACTACCAAAAAGCATGCACAACATTCCTTATGACGACATCTAAAAAGTTAGAAAATACAACCCTTATCTATCAAAATTGCTAACATTATTTAGTACAAACAATACGACATTGTTTGAATTTACAAGGAGCCCAGGTGCCATCTGAATTACCAAGTAAATACCATGCATTCAATAACTACTAACTGATTCATCAAGTTGGGTAAGAGGATCTCTCACCTAAATCGAATCTCAGATATACCACGAAAAAAATGTACAATTTTTTATACAATTATGAGGTTGGACAACAATACAATCCTGGCTTTACCTGCAGTGGGCCACTAGGCTAGAGGCTTAAGAGTTATACTTCTCTCACATCTGTAGCATTCACTATTAAAAAAGCCCCCATATTTCCAGGAGAGAGAATTTCCTGCAGAATCCACACTTTACTGCAGAGTTATGATTCAGAACCTAAGGGCTTGTATACATGGTAACAGGAATCAAAATAACTAAAATCAGTTAAAATTCACACCTTTAGGTATTTTGGTATAAGTCAGTATGTGGACATTCTTTAGAGTGCCCACACACAGACTTGCACACTAAAGTTGTGAATTTAAACCAATTAAGTTTTTTTAATTCCAGTTACTGTGTACACAAGCCCTAAGTTTTCCTTCCACAAAAATTATGCTTTCAGCTCTCATAGTTGTGAGGACAACCTTGAAAATATGTAGAATCCTGTGTGGATACAAAATTTGTATCTGCATCCAACCTGCAAAAATGATCCCTGCATATAAAGCAGATATCCGCAGATTTCTAAGGTTCTAGATACAAAATTTGCACCCATTTTCGATCTGCAATCTGCAAAAATGGTCCATGGATTTGCAGAGCTCTAAAAATTGGATTGATGTTTGCCACTTCCTGCAGAGAGACTGCAAACAAGATCTTAAAGAGATGTAAACTGGGTCATTCATTTCCACAGGCTGTTAACTTTGAAACTTAAAGATGAATGTAAGATGTCAACATTGTTAATTATTTTACCACTGATCATTTTAACAGAAACATCTAGCTAATGTATTTTTCCTACAAAATGCTTCCCACATCTTTGCAGTGGCCAAGAGTCATGATCTTTGCATCTACCAAAATGTCCAAGTTCCTCCCAAAAAACTTATACAATGTAGTTATTCTTTGTCAATATAAAAATCAATGGCACACTAAAACATGAACACGAGGACATAAAATAAACTACAGTTAATATTAAAAGTGACACAGGAGCTACTGTACACATTGTATTATTCATTTTCTTATTTAAGGTGTAGCAGGCAGACCCATGTGCTTGTGAAAAGCCCTACTGAACTCAATGGACTTGGCATAGGCACAAGGTGTGGCCACGCGCACCTAACTGCAAGATCAGGCTTAACTAACTCAAAATGTCAAATTTTAAAATTTAAATGAGATAGTAGCAGGATTTCCAGTCTGTCACAGCAACGTTAGAGATCCCAGGAACCGTACAGTGGAGTACACAGGGCCCTAACTATGATCCAGGGGGAAAAAACTCACATCTCAAAATAATCTAAATAGTCTGTGGACCAGTGCAGATCAAAAAAGTGGAATCCATTGCTTTCCACAACAATGCCCTCATTCAAACAGATTTTAAGAAGTGCCACCAAAATTCCATAATTTGCTTATTGGTGACAAGAAAAGAAGAGATTTGTTTTGAAATTCAGGGAAGGTACTTTGACATAAAGTGATGAGGTCCTATAAGCACCCAGACAGATAGGACAACAAAAGTACAAAAGCACATAGAAACTATTTGATCTAAGATGTGTACAAAAAAAGAACTGATTTCATCCAATTTTTCTGTCACTGTACTAGCTCATGTACATTGTCCTGAATGCTAGGCTAGAAGGTAGAAAATAGGAACAAAGTGCAAAGTAAATTTTTGGATCTACCCTGCATGCTGTGTAAACATGTATGTTTGGACAGTTTCATTGTTGATCTCCATCTTTTATAAAAGAGAGTGTTAAAAAAAAAAAGAAAGAAAGCAATTTAAAAGGAATGCCAAAACAAAAAAATGTTTCCTCCTGTATCAATGTACACTAAGTTTTAGCACAATCCTTGCCTTGGAAAGACATTGCACAGAAATTTCATACAGGTAGAGCTTGTTGCTTCGAAACCATTTAAAAACATTTGTTTACATTTAACAGACATCTCATGGACCATTCTGAAAAACCGTTCAATGGAACTAATTTTTATCTCCTCTTTGTTTCCTAGCTATAAAAAACTGAGGATGTCTGCAGGATATAGAATCTTTGCTTCTGAAGAATCTTTGCTCCTGGTTCTTGTTGCTCACCTAAAGCCATAATCCTCTATTTATGGCATCAACATTGATTACTGTGGAACTGATGTAGTCACAAACAGAAGGTTATAACTGCAAATGAGAAATAAAGTAGCAAGAGCAGATAAACTTATTTTAAGGACTATTTTTATGCTAGTACCCTTGGGAAAAAACATTTAGATATGACAAACATAATTGCATCAATATAGAATTACTTTAAAAAAAAAAATCTTCCCAAGAAATGTTTACAGCTTGGTATAACCTACACTAATTTTAAGGGGTATGATTTTCCTTGACAATCCTTTTAATATATTTTCTAATAAAAAAAACAAGGAAAGCAATAGCACTAATGTCATAAACCCTACCTTGACTTTCACCAGCCGTTTCACTGTCTTAATCTTTGCCTCACAAAAGGCACCACGGTACTTGGCACTGACATCAGTTCCCACTGTCAGGTAGGCAGGCTCATCTGCTGCCTAACAAAGGAGAGTAAATTAGAACATCATTTAGTCTTATATTTTACAAAAGTGTATTCTGTTAAAATAAAATAAATAATAATAACAATAATAATTACTGTCTTTACAGTTGCATCATCATATATTCAAATATACACCCAAACTTTTAGTCCTACTGATCATTTCTTAATCAGATCATAAATGATGATTTATGTTGCTTTCAATATTGCAGACAACCTAATTTTTCTTTACACTAAGATCTGACGTACGCTAAAATCTAGAACGTCAACTCTTTCCTAATAGTGGCCATTGATTTTGCTCCAATTAAATCTGTAGAGCATGTCAAGTGTTTGCTTTTTCCCCCCAGATATACACATTTTTACCAAGGTGCTGTGCATAACATTTTAACCATATTTAAAGTTTCATTGCACAGAAATTGTTTCTAAGCAAAACATACAACTTCAATCAAACAGACAGTGTAAGAAAAATGAGTGGTACAGATTTTTCCCATGTAATTATTTTCATGTCCCCATTTTGCAAGAATGTACTAATAGACATTTAAGTGCAGAAATACAATTTAAAATAGCAATTTTTTTTTTTTAAAAAAAAGAAACTTAAGTAACTGATGAAAAATGAGTAAGAATGAACCAGTGGTTATGGTTTGTAGCACAACTTTGCAGCATACACAAATCATTATGATCCAAAGAAATATATCAGCTTTGCCAGTAAATTTCAGCATATTGGGCTGGCTAAAAAGCTTACATCACACTGAGTTTATAGATACATTTTTTGCTCCAGGAATTTTGACGCCCCCCCCCCCCCAATTTTATCAGTCTCGGATGGTCTCAGAAATACCAGTTCAATAATCTCAAAGAGAACTGAAGCATATGCTTACAAACAGAGGTAGAAAGATAAATTCAAGAATGAAGATAATTTCAATAAATTGCTATGAACAAAACAATATGAAAGTGATATTTCATTTTGAATGGAGCTGCATCTCAGACAATTGCAATTTCAAAATTTATACAATAACCATAACCTTTATGTACTTAAAAATATCCTAGATTTCTGTTGTTTCAATGAAGAAAAAAAAAGTGTTCTATGGTGCTCTCAACAGCAGATTTTCTGAAAGAAAAACAGCAAAAGAGCTACAGAAAAGTTTGTTGTAACCTTTCAAACAAGTATATTAAATGTTATTTTTCTCGCTTGAAAGGTCTTTGTTAAGATTTATTTTTCCCCAAAAATGTGTGCAAGTTTACCACATTCAAGAACATTTGTGTGTACCTGGGAATTATTATTTTACATTTTATTTTCTTTATTTGACTTTTACAATGATCAATAAAGTTATGCGAAGTTACTATATTAAAAAAACAAGCTACAGTAAAATAGGAAATCAATACATGCAATGAAATATTTTGTGTTGATAACGAACATAAATAATGAACTATTTTTTGCTTGTCTCTGCATCTAAGAAGTGTTTCCCTCCATGTTACTTATCCTGCAATTGTTAAGCCTTTGCTCTGGAAAAACTGAAACTGCTAAGGAAGGACAAAAGCTGTGGTTTTGCAAACTCACAAAAGCTACAGCCAACACAGGAAGCATTTAAAGATAGTACTCCAAATGACAACAAGTCAAAGGCATCCTATGTTTCCAAAGTGTTGTTACTGCATAGGTGAGGGATTGGGATGAGCTGCCCTTCAGTGAGGGAGAAGGGATGGGATTTCATTCCATTCAACATGTGCCGATTTCCACAGCCAACTTTATTCTGCTGTTGTTCAACGAAGATACACTGATTAAAAGTGAAACCAATAAGGTGACTGGTGCAGGGTAGAAGAGAAAGAGCATAAATGCTTCCCCTACTCCTCTTCTCAGGACCTGGACAAACTTACCTTCATCTTTGAAGGTTATTTGAGGGATTCCAGCTCAAAGATTTCTCTTGAACCCAGTTACACAGAAAAAAGCTAGAAAACAAGAGAAGGAAGATGATCAGACACACATCTGCATGCATGTGGATTGATTTTAAAAGAAAACATCTTGATCTGGGGAAGAACATAATTCAGCTACTAGCATATGGCAGATTATTAAACACACCCCTCCACACTGTTTACACGCATCCCTCCACCCTCCAAGCACACCCACCCCTTACATCCCTAAAGCATTCCCTCCACAGGAAGCCTCCGAGCCCCACTTGCTGCCCTGCGTGTGCAGCTGGAGGGGACAGCGAGAAGTGCTGAAAAGGGGTCCTTGCCGGGGACAAATGGGCCCTTGAAGATCTGGGCAAGAAGCCGCTACTACCTCCTTTTCCTTCCCGCTTTGGCTGCCTCCTGCTCTTCCTCAGCCCCTCCGTGTGTCAGGTCGCCATTGCTCCCTCTGCCTTTGCACCATTTCAAGCAAGAAGACGCTCCACACACACAGCGCAGGCAAAAATAATAATACTACTACTACTAAGCTGCTGGCAGCCCAGCTGCTGGGACAAGGGCAGCTCCTGCGCACGAGAGACCAGGCCCCCAGCCGCCCCCTTCCCCTCTCAACTTTCTCAAGCACAAGAAGAGAGCTTAGGAAGGACCCTCCCCTCCCCTCTCCCCCAGAAGGCTTTAGACTGGGACGCAGAGAGGAGTTAGACCAAGGGTTCCCCACACCCCCTGCCTCCCCAACTAACCTCCAGCCCCCCAACGCCTCCCCACCTCAAATACCTTCCAGCCCCTCAACGCCTCCCCACACCCCCCCTCCTCAAATACCCTTCACCCCCCCCAACACACACAACCCAAACCCCACCGCTGCCAGGGGGTGGCCCTCAGCAGCAGCCCGCTCCCCAGCGGGGGGAGGAGGAGGAGGGGGACACTCGCCCACCCAGAGGGTGGGAAGCGAGGTCCCCGTGCCCCCTGAAGCTGAGCAGGGAAGAGCTGATTGGAGACGCGGGAGGGGGGCGGGCAAGGGAAACCTGCCGACTGCCCCCACCCCCGAGAGGGCTGACGGGGGCGTTCCCCTACCCGGGGCCGGGAGATAAGGCGCCCCCGTCCTCCCTGCCGCGAAGGGGGGCCCTCAATCAGAGAAGGGAGGGGAGGAAGCGCCGGTCACCGCGCTGGGATGGGGGGTGGAGTTCGGCGGGCGAAAGGAGTCCGAGTCCCCCGCTGACTGGAGCCGAACCGGGGGGGGTGGGTGTCCTGCCTCCTCCGTGACTGGGTGCGGGAGCCCCGATCCCCCGATCGAGGGGTTTCGGGGACCCCGATCCCCCTTCCCCCGGGACGGCAGCGGAGTTGCGGCTGCTGAGCCGCTCACTGCCCTCCTGCTCCGTCCCCCTACCTTTAAACTCAGAGCCAAGTAGGGATCTGCTGCGAGCCCGGCCCAGCTCCCAGCCCCCAGCCCCGCTCGCGGCAGGCGCCTCAGAGACAGCGGCGGCGGCGGAGGCAGCGGTGGCTCGGCTCGGCTCCGCTCCACCCCCCTTCCAGCCCGGACTCGTACCGAATCACCAGCGATCAGCCAAATAACAAGCTGTTGAGCAGTATCTGCCCTGCTCGAACTCCCATTGGCCCTTCGTGACGCCCAGGGGGCTCTACCCAGCCCGGATTGGGCGCCGCGGACAGCCCCCTCCCATTGGTCACAGGATACCAGTGAGACCAGATTGGTCAACAGACGACGCAGGTAAAACAACGGGGACTTTTGATTGGTGAATCGGTGGAACTCGAGTCGATTGGACATTTCTGAAGTGAAGTAATCGTTCACCTCACGCTGATTGGTATGAACTCGATCCGGATGTAGCTTCGCGTGCGATGATTGGCAAGCATGAAGGTCAGGAAGAGCAGCGGGGCGATGTGATTGGTGCGGACTGTGTCATAGCAATGGAGAGGGGGCGGAGCCAGAGGCCCTGCAGCGGCGGCGGCTGCATAGCTCCGCATAGAGCATGCGCCGCGATGAGCCTCCCGGTCGCCATTTTGTACGCTGCTCTTTCCCATTTTAGGCGGGGAGGAAGGGAACGGGAGTGGTCTCTGCGTTTCCCGGGGGGCTCTGCCTCGTCTCGGGCTAGGGGATGGGCTCCGAGGGACTTCCTCCTTCCGGCTGAAGACGCCGTCTTCTCTCTTGTCCGGAGGCGATGGTGGCTGTAGCGAGCGGGTAGCGTTTCCCTCCCTTAGCGCGGTGATGGCGCAGCAGCCGGGGGGAGGGGGAAGCTCGGCGAGGCCGGACCCGGAAGTGAAGGGACCTCTGAGGAGCCGCTCACCTAGCCCATGGCCGCGGCGGCGGCGGAGGAGGAGCTTCGTGAGGAGGGGGAGGTGGCCGCCGCAGCAGCCCGCAGTGATGTCTGGGCCACGGAGGCGGGGCCGAACGGGAGGCGGCCGGGTACGGCAGAGTAAGTCGGTCGGCGGTAAGCGTGGCCTGTCCGGCTGTGACCCCCCCCCCCCCAGTGCGGGCGCCTCCTGGAGCTTGCTGGCAGCCGGCGTCGGTGAAGCTGTAGGCGAGGTTCGAGCCGCCCCTTCCAGGAGCGTGTTGACGCTGAAGCCGGTGTACCCATCGCAACGTCGGAAGGGCTGTTAGCTCTGTCGCTGCCGATCGCTCCAGGAGAAATGTGCAGAGGCTCCGGGATCGTGGGTAGCGGTCTGGGGAGCCGCCTGTCCCGCGGGCACAGCGCTGCTTTGGTAACTCGCCGGCTGCTGCTGTCAAAAGAGCAGGGTGGTTGTTGCACGTGTTGCTCTTGGAACCGCCGCACAGGACGTGAGGAGGCCGCTTGCTCCCGGGTTAAGTGTGTGCTGTGTCTCCATTAGTCTCTGCCCTACTCAGGATGCAGAGGATGGAGCAGGGCAGGGAGGATATGCGTATCTTGCCTCCCACGCAGTTTTTCACGTGGCTTTAGTGGTTGTGACCAGTTCAAAGGCTACAGCGGTGGAGACTGAGGGCATGTCTACACTGGCAATTTACAGCGCTGCAATTTTCTCATTTGGGGATGTGAAAAAAAGACACACACACACAGACCTCCCCCCCCAGTGCAGCAAGTTTCAGCACTGTAAAGCACCAGTGTAGATAGTGAACCAGCGCTGGGATACACACCCCTCATGGAGGTGGGGGGTTTTTAGAGCGCTGTGTGAAAGGGGTCACCAGTACAAAAGTTTGAGAACCACTGGTTTAGCTGTTGAATACCTCTCAGATGGCAATGCCTTCGTTGTTTGTTAGCGTTTGCATTCTAATTTGAACATTCTAATTAGAAGTGAAAAATTCTCCTTGTACCCTTAGGCCAAGGTCAGTGGAGTGGATGGCTAAGTCTTAAACTGATTATTCGGAACACTTTTCTCTTATAGAAATGAAAGCATTACACTTGTTCTGGCTTTTTTTTAACTAGGGGTTCACTAGTGCTTGGTCTGTACTAGGAAATTAGGTCCGTATAACTGTTGCTTAGGGGTGTGAAAAATCCACCCCACTGAGCGATGTAGATAAACCAACCCAACCCAACCCCCTGGTGTAGACCTGGGAGAATTCTCCTGTCAGCCTAGCTACTGCCTCTTGAAGTGGATTACCTCTGCTGATGGAGAACATTTCCCTTTGGCATAGGTAGGACTTCACTGAAGTGCTACAATGGTGCAGCTGCAACAGTGAAGCTGCAGCATTTTAAGTGTAGACAAACCTTTAATCATCAGTTGACTTTATATATGTCTCTGTTGCACTTATGCAGTTGCAGGCACCATCATTGTCAAAATTCGTGGTAAAGTTAGTCATGCAAAATAATCATGTAATCAAACGTGGGGAGAGGAAAAGAATTGTATCTTGTAAAGACAGTGGAAATGGCTCACACGGATCAAAAGTGGATCACATCCTCATGCCCACTTCTCTTCTTGGGACCAAACATACGTGCAAAAGGATACAGTAGAACTTCAGAGTTACGAACTGACCAGTCAACTACATACCTCATTTGGAACGGGAAGTACACAATCAGGCAGCAGCAGAGACCAAAAAAAAAAGTGAATACGTTACGGTACTGTACCATGTTAAACATAAACTACTAAAAAAAAGGGGGGGGGGGGGAGTTCAAAAAAAATATTTGACAAAAGAAACGGTTCCTGTGCTTTTCATTTAAATTAAAATTGTTAAAAGCAGCATTTTCTTCTGCATATTAAAGTTTCAAAGCTGTATTAAGTCAATGTTCAGCTGTAAACTTTTGAAAGAGCAACCGTAACATTTTGTTCAGAGTTACGAACTATCTCCATTGCCAAGGCATTTGTAACTCTGAGATTCTATTGTAGTTTCATATCTTGCTTTTGGCTGCTGTCCATGTAGTCAGCAAACTTTCAAAATGTTGTGTATGTGTGTACCAATGAAGCTATCTAAACAAACTTTTTTTTTTAATCTACTTCATTGGAGTTAATTAAACTTGCTTTACTTTTAAACATGTAAAGCAATTCATGGCTTCTTTATAAACTAAGTTTCAGAAACTCAAGCTACAACATGAAGTGCTGTTATCACTAAACCTGCTAAAGATCTAAATATAATTTTGTTAAATATTTTGCATAACTACTTAGTAACAACCTGAGAATACCCCTTCAACCTCCCATCTAGTGCTCTAGGTTGAGAATCTCTGGCCCTTTTCTTTCTAAGCCTCTTCTTCCCCCCCCCCCCCCATGCTATAAAAATTCCACGGTCCACCTGTGCCACAATTGCTTTTCTGTATATAAAAGCCAGGGCCAGTGTTAGGGGGTAGCAAGTATGGCAATTATCCAGCCCCTATGCCACAGAGGGCCCTGTGAAGCAGCTTGGGGCCCCGGGCTGTGAGGCTTCAGCTTTCTGCCCTGGGCCCCAGCATATCCAATGCTGGCCTGGCTTGGTGGCCCCCCTGAAACCTGCTTGTGGCCCTCCAGGGGGCCCTGGACCCCTGGTTGAGAACCACTGCTCTAGGCTCCAGTCCTGCAATGGGCTCTGGTTGCAGGAGTTCACCATGCAGAGTTTATAGGAAGATGAGGGCTGCAGAGATGGTCAGTGCCTGCTGAGTGATACCAGAGTGACTTGATATCTAATAACCAGCTTCCGAGTCTGTTCTAGTTCCAGAGTTTGGTTTTTATTAGATCTGAAGCTTTAGAAGGAAAGTGGCAAACTCTGACAATGGAAAAGTTTACGAGTTAGGCAGTATTGCATAGTATGGATCTGCTTTAGGTACTTTATTAGAAATAGCATGTTGGGGATGTTTGGAGTTAGTTGTTCAGAGACTTAACCATACTGGCAAAAAGTTCAGAACATAGTTCTGCTAGCTGGAGTTGAGTTGTGACTTTTTTTTTTAAAGATTTTTGTTGTACTTGACTGGTAATGTGTTTACAATACATGACAGAAGCATGGAGTTTGAGAGGAATTTTTCGGTTTAGATTGTTGGGGTTTTATGCTAGTTAAGCAATGTAGCGAAAAGCAAGTTGGCAGCTTATTCATGCATAATATCCTTAGTTTTGTTTCATAAAATACTCAGATTCTTCATTGGATAAACTGAGGAGATTGTATTGCTAAGAATACAAGATCAGTTATTGTTCTAGTAACTAAAAAATGTATGACTTGAAGATTGGTCCTCTTAACCTACGTATCTTTTGTTTGGAACATGTTGCCCAAGTCATGGTTTAGATTGTAAGCTTTTTGGAGCAGGGTTTGTGCTTTTGTAAAGCACTTAGTACACCAGCACTCAATAAATATCCGCTAAATACAAAACTAATAAGCCTTGTTTCTAATTTCTAGCAGAGGCCCAAATGCTAGCTACCTGCTGATACTGCCTTTGGTATCTGAGACTACATGGAATGTTTAGGAAGTTCTTGATGCATTGGTCATCTAATGGAATAAAATGATTTCTGTAGAGAGTCTACTTATATTATGATTACAATAAAAGTTGCTGAACAATCTGAGGTAATCAGACCACCTAATTGAATATTCTGACACTACTTAAAAATATGACATCTAGTATAATGGAATGAAGATTTTTCACTGAGGTGGGGGAAGCTTTCATTTTTGTTTTAAAATATGAATTTCACAGCTTCACTACAACAAGAATTGTATTGCGTATGTTGAAATTCTGAGTTTTTCCCAATTCATTGTAATGTAAATAGTTCCCAGTCAACTTACACTGTAGAAATCAGTTCATCCCATTTTGTCTTTCTTGTTACTAGGGATATCCTATATGGAAACAAAACTTTTTAGCAGTCTGCTGCTTATTTTATCTAATGGCATAATCCTTTGACATAACTGCCCCTCTAGGAGTCAATTTGTCATGCACAACATTAGCAACCTTTTGGGAATAGGTGCAGGAGCAAACAGAAAATTTAGACACACAAGGGGAATTAAATGAAACTATTAATAGGGATCTTTTACATGGAAAAATCTTTGCTTTGGTTCTAAGATTGTATTTACTTTCATACATATTGCATCTGTGTGAAAATTGGATGTTCACAGAAATTTGGGGTCTGTAGGCCTTGCAGAGATCATTTTGATCCTTAAACAATGTGACGTGAAAT